AATCCCATATGTTCTGTTGTTCACTTAACGCGGTTTTCACTTAACGCGGTACCCTGTGGGTTCAATTGACCGCGTAAAGCGGGGTACAACTGTATAATATCCTTGCGGAGGTGAGTATTTCAGCAATTAGAACACAAATTCGCGGAGCTTCCCTTTGTGTGTATTATAGCTGAAGCGCCAGGCAAGAGATGAGGTTCGAGATGCGTATAGTGGGGGGTGAAGGAGGGGCGTTTTGAGAATTGCAATTAAATGCCAGGTAGCGACGTGTCCTCCTAATATTACAGGTAGTTCTGCTATAACGCAATAATTGTGTTCTTGTAAAATATCGTGTTATAGAAAATGGCGTAATAGAAATAACAGGGCTTATGGAGAAAATAGGGTAAGGTGCAGATTACTCGAAATCGAAAAAATTTAGTAGTTAGCCTAACACAAAGGATAGCACAGTCTAAATAAATGTTACATTCATATCTAATAATGAAATCATACAGTAAATGTAACACTTTACTTTGAAAAAATATGACTGTAACTTGATGGGGGAGAAGGGTGATTTTGAGGTTGATAAAATCGAGCTTCTCTTCAAGTGTTATATCCTTTCTTTTACGATCATCACCGGGAATTCTATCACCAGAATGCTTCTTGGAGATATTCTTCTTTACCATATTCACAGTTAATACCACAAAATTGGAGAAATAGTAAGCAAAAATCGCGTTATAGCAAACAAGCGTTCGCGTTATACAAATATCGTTCCTAATTCATAAATCGCGTTAGAGCAAATTCGCGTTATCAAAACACGCGTTATAGCAGAACTCACTGTACTTATTAAGTAATTACTAGATGTTTTAATTGCCTGTATGTTGGCCTGGCAAATTGGCTAGGAATTAACATACCTAGGTAGCACTTGCTGACGTCGCATTCAGAGCTTTAATTTCATTTATTTATTTTTTTTTGGGGGGGGGAGGGGGGATCCGGGATCGGCGGTTAATCCGAAAGTCGGTTAATCGAGGGTCGGTTAATCGAGGTTTTACTGTACATGCACGTAAATTAGCTTTTGGTATTAATTGAACAATTGCGTTATTCCAAAAACGCTTAAATCAAACGCAAGTTACCTGTACAGTAGTGTTGAAAGGTGTTCGCATTGGGACAGTTACAGAGTTTACAGGAAGAGAAGTGCGGGTCATCTCCCACCTCAGATTCATGGCAGATAGGTTTGTATCCTAACCTAATGCAAGCAGAGACAACATTATGTCCGCAGACCACAAGTCCACATCGACGATACTTGTGTGGATAAGGAAGAAAGTGATCACAGTGTTGAATGGATATACTCTCAGCCCATTCACTATTCCTGTGAAGGATTGTACGGAGAAAAGCGGTTGAACATATTCTCTTTCAGTAGGTCACGCTGGGCTTATATTTAGGCATAAAAGATCCCGATTAGGCAGCCATAATTTTGAGAATCAGTTATTGATTAATCTCTATAGAAAGATTTGTAAATAAACATGGGTAATGTCTTTTATTTTTATCTATACTTAACTAGTTATTTTATAATTTATTGTGGATTTATTTTAATATTTGAGACAATTAATAATTTTGTTACTAATTACTTTCAGTATTTCAGGAATTTACAAATGAGATACTTCTTTACTTCTACTTGAGTACATTGATCTTTGAATACTTTTACTTCTACTCGAGTAACATTTTTCCAATGTAACAATACTTTTACTTAAGTAACAAAGTCCAGTACTCTTTACAACATTGGCAAATATGAACAACAAATATAAATTTTCCTCCACAACTTGGTGATTAAGTGGGTTGTGCAGCACACTTCTCAGAATGATCACCTACAGTCTTGAGTTCATCATCATTTTAGTCATTATCTATTTTTGCATGGATTAACAGGTTTGACCCCAAGGGACTCGAGCATTCCAGAATACCTGGAGTGACATATCAATATAGTGGTGGATAGTCTGGAAAGCTTTATAGGTAATTAAAGAACTGAGAAAATAAGGAATGGAGATGTAAGAACAATGTGTGGGGTCATAAATTTTGGGGAAAGTTAAATGTATGACAGTATACTAAGATGGTACTGCATAGTTATACCAAATGGAGTACATGACAGGTAAAAGATTAACTAAAATAATTTTTGACAAGGTAGTTAAGGGATAAATGCTTGAGGAAGGCTAAGGTGTCACATTAGAAAATGTCGAAAGAATAACTGTGTATTGTGAAGTTTAGTAGTTTCATACAGGCACAAACCTGAAAATTAAACTGCATGTGTTGAGTAGGCTGATAAGAACCGTTGTGGATCAACATAATAGTAACTTTTGCTTTATATAACTAAGTATGTAAGTTTAGGATAGCACAGTATAAGCAAGTACTGTATGTGTGGATATGTCTACTTGTTGTCATGTCTTTCCTGTCACTCTACACTTTTGTCTATCACAACTTTCCTATTTGCTTCCCTTCTTCTGTAAGGTTCTTGTAAGCCCTTGAACTACCCAAAACAAAAGTGGTAAAGGAGGAAAATTAGTAGACATAATTATAACAGCAATCAAAACATAAAAACAATTTCTAAGTTCATAAATACATATGCAAATCACAATATTTACAGAAACTCAAAGGCTACTTTTGCCTATTTATTACCAGAGAATGAACAACTTCCTGGGAAACAAACCCAGAATTTAACACTGGCAATGTCTGATCAGATTCTGTAAAGGTTTGGCCAGAAACTGTTAAGATACTTGCTCGATCATCACAATCATCTTCCACATTTTCAACAGACTTTTCACTGGGCATCCAAATTTTAATTGTAGAAGATGAATGCATGTCACTACTTAACCTGTCAAAAAACTAACTGAGGCTTCTTTGAGTATTACAACATGTTTACAATCACTTGCAACAGTTTCATGAATACAGCTACTCCTCGACTTACGACATACTCGACCTACGACCACCCGCACATACGACCGCCGCAGTCGGTACCAAAATTTTTTCAAATGACACGCGTATTTTCTAGACCGAAACATTTCCGTCCCGTACGAGAGCATCTCGTGGGCTGGGTCGCCTCGTGGCTACAGCACCCACTCTGTAAAGCGCTTAGTTGGTGTTTGGCTGTCGTTGTTGTCGATAGTGATCGCACTGTGTACTGACGATATTTTCGTAACTACAGTAATTCACTATAGAATGACTGGCAAGCGTAGAAGTGAGAGTGCTTGTGGTGCTCAGAAGAAAAGGAGACAGTCAATTACTTTTGAGATGAAAATGAAGATAATAATGCAGTATGAAAATGGAAAAACGGTAGCAACCTTTTCACGAGACCTAGGCTTCTCGCAGTCGACCATATTGACTATTTTGAAGGACAAGCAACGTATTCGTGAGGTAGTGAAAGGATCAGCACCTATAAAGGGAACTATAAAAACGAAGAAAAAAAAAGGTCCTATTCATGAGATGGAAAAATTACTTGTAATATGGATGGAAGATCAGATACAAAAGCGTGTACCCTTAAGCCTTCTAACCCTACAGGCAAAAGCAAGGAGCCTTTTCGAAAGCCTGAAGAAGGCAGGAGATGAGTGCGATCAAACCTTCACAGCAAGTCATGGGTGGTTCCAAAGGTTTAAGAACCGCTACAGTTTGCATGGAGTAAAGGCGAGTGGAGAGGCAGCAAGTGCTGATGTGGGTGCTGCCGAAGCTTTTCAGGAGGAGCTAGAGCGTGTCATCGTGGAGGGAAATTATTTGCCTGAGCAAATATTTAATGTGGATGAAACTGGCTTATTATGGAAGCACATGCCAGAACGGACATACATCCACAAAGAGGCGAAAACAATGCCAGGATTCAAGGCATTCAAGGACCGAATTACACTTCTGTTTGGGGGGAATGTAGCTGGTTTCAAGATAAAGCCCTTCATGATATATCATTGAGAGAACCCAAGGGCTTTTAAACATGTCAGCAAGCACACACTGCCAGTGTTTTATCGCAGTAACAAGAAAGCATGGATGACTCTAGTACTGTTTGAGGATTGGTTCCTGACTTGTTTCATTCCACGAACCAAGGAGAATTGTCTGCAACAAGGGATTGCATTCACGATTTTATTAACTTTGGATAATGCTCCGGGACACCCACCACACCTGGACGACCTGCACCCTGATGTTAAGGTAGTCTACATTCCATCAAACACTACCTCTGTCATCCAACCCATGGGTCAAGGTGCTATTGCTGCTTTTAAAGCGAATTATTTACTTACGACCTTCGCTCAGGCTGTTGGAAGAAAGTCCTGAAAAGATATGTGAACAGTTTCAGAGGATTTAATGAAGATGAAGTAATTTCTGAGAATCGTAACAAGATAGTGGAGTTGGGAAAACAGCTTGAGTTAGAAATTGATACCGAAGATGTTGAGCAGTTGGTTGAAAGTGTAGCAGAAGAGCTAAGTAACGAGGATCTTATTGAACTGGAAGCACAGAAAATTGTAGAGACGAAGAAGAGAGTAAAAATATAGAAGAAGAACCTGCACCCGCCGAAAATTTTTCAGTGAAACAAATGGCAGAAGCATTTGCTACAATTAATAAGGGGATGCAAATGTTTGACAGAATGGATCAAAATGTTGAGCGTTTTGCCAAAGTTGACAGAATGGTCCAAGATGCACTTGCTTGCTACATGGAGATATATAATGAAAAGAAAAAGCAAACTGTGCAGTCTAAATTGGACATCTATTTCAAGAAGTCCCCCATTGCTCTCTCCTCACGCCCCACCAGTGCTGCCTCTTCACTCCCTAAAGATTTTCCAATGCCTTCAACCAGCAAGTTTCCCATGTATATTAACCTGTCTGAAGAAAGCGACATTGATGACCCACCCAGCCCTGTCTTCTCCTCTGCTTCATCCAGTTAATGTAGTCTCCATGTATAATTAGAAAATTATTGAGGCCCCGTGTGCATTCAGCTGACTACACTAAAGGTAAGTGCACAATAACACTGTATCCATTCTTCATTATTGATTACTTTTACTGGACTGTATTTCATTTTAGATTTTCTATGTATTATTTTTTGTATTTTCGACTTACGACCATTTCGACTTACGACCTGGATTTGGGTCCCTAACCCAGTCATAAGTCGGGGAGCAGCTGCATTAGTATTACTGTCTTTTGTTACTACTATTGCACTACTATACCAGGAACTTCAACATTTTCATGTAAAAGAGATTCTACATCAATGGACTGTGTAACCTTATCACTGCATGAGATTTGATTCGCCAAGTTTTCTAAAGTTATATTAGAATTTTCTTCAATATTAGCATTTGAGGATAATATTTCATTTTCTTCTGCATTTGCAGTTGAAGATAAAAGGGGATAATTTAGCTGCATCTGTCCTGAATCATTTGTTGTTAGATGAACAGGTGATGACTCCACTTGAGTAACACCTTGAACAAAGTGAACAACAAGACCCATATCTTGAGGGGAATCTTTATTAAAAGTCTTTTTCTCGATAATTTTCTCATTTCGATTACTGGATATACAAACAGATGCTGGTTCCTGTACTTTAGAATCCCCTATACTTTTAAACACCCTTACACTGTTGCTAGAAGTGGTCTTGCTGGGTTCCTCAGAGATGGATTCCTCAGGCATTTCAAAGTAGATCTCTGGCAGACTAATCACTTCATTGTGACACTTCAACATGTGTCTCTCATAACTCTCTTTGATGCGAAACTCTTTGGAGCAATGACGACATTGGAGAGGTTTAAGACCTGTATGAATCCATTTATGCTTAAGAAGCCCCTCCCTTGTCTTGAAATTTTCTTTGCAAATGACACATGTGAAAGGACGATGATTAGTATGTACCCGCTGGTGACTTATCATGTTGCTATACTGGTTGAAACGTCGCTCGCACACCTAAAAATAGAATATGAATACAGTATACTGTACAGTATTAACATTAAAATAAGAATTATTGAAGATTGAAATCCCATTTATGAATAAAATTACACAGTTGCCCCATTTGTTATTCTAAAAGCAACTACTACAAGTTACGAAAGTGCTACTACTTCCTACCATGATTGCAGCCCAATAAGTGTCTGCTGAAACAGATGTTATTATTGAAAGCAGAAGACCTATTGCACTGCACTCACAACTCACACACAAAATACGACTCCTGGATACAATCACACACATTACTTGTCCATTATCTTACATCAGCAAAACCTGTCTGCCCTGAAAGGTATCAACTGGTTATTTGTGTCTTATTTGGTCTTCAAGAGATACACAGGATTTATGCTGAATTCCCATTTTATAGTAAACATGAATCGGGTGACATATGTTCTGCATTCATAAGCTGATGGGTTTAACCCCAGAAACCCACCACTCAGTAAAACTATAAATCTGAGAGAGAGCCCCCTTGGTTTCACCAGAGTTGGTATCACTAAAGAATTTGGTGAGAATAACACAACTGCACATTTGTGCCATACAACCCAGCCAGGCGACAACAAGTGGCCTCACCATCCACAGGGTGGAGGGAGGAATCTGAGTCAACCAATCCATGCTCATTGTGAAATGGGATTTCAGAATCAATCCTTCATTTCTAACAGATGCAAATATCATGCAACTTATGTACAGTCAACAACAAAATTTCCTGCACATCTGGGTCTGATGGCTTTTTCAACAATCACTGATTGAGGCCATTATGTGATGCCCTGTGTAAGTAATATGATGTATTCTGTATGATGACTGTACACTCAAGACACTTGGTAATAATGGGAAGATAGAAACATAATCTTTAATACAGGTCACAACTTTAAGATAAGAAGTTATCAGTACAGATAAAAAAATTTTGGGAGAGACGCATTCAGATACAGTAACCACAAAAGTTCTGTCGCCTCTCCTCCTTAACTGAATGACGAACCCTGAAATTCAGACTTGTGAATCCGAAGCATTTATGGACATCAGTGTCTACTGCTGCTTCGGGTTCACGAATCTCAATTTCACTGTTCGTGGAACAACAGGAAAGACAACAGTAATTTTGCGGATGACTGTACATTCAAGAATGTGTGTATACCGTATATCTCGGCTTATAAGACGGAATTTGAACATTAAAAAAATCTGCCCAAAGTTAGGGGGTCGTCTTAATCAACAGGTATAAAATTCTTACATCTTAAATATTGTGGTTTACTGTGTCAAGAGTGGTAATGGAAACATCGTAAGCCACTCAGAAGGTCCTACCACTAATTATTTTATACTGAAACTTACGTTTGGCAAGCTGGATTCAAATTAAGATTACCGGTACAGTAAAAGCCCAAAAATCCGGATGCCAGAAATCCGGACTTTTCAAAAACGATTTTTTTTTTTTTTAGCGGGCATTTGTGTGCATGTGCGCATGCGTGAGCGCCACAGCTGCACAGCGACAACAAGCGACCACGTGGTCGCCACTTTAAAATGGGCAATCAAACTGTGACAACATACCGTATATACTCGTCTATAACCCTCCCTTGTTATCAGTCGACCCTGATTTTTTGACCAAGAAATCGTTAATTTATGATATTCCTCGTTTATAGTTCCACCCACGTTTTTGAGGGTAATGGAACAACAAAACCACTAAAAACACTCTACGTCCTATAAACTGAGGCTCGCCATGCATGAAACACAAGTGCTGAAGGCAAATTGTTTACCATTTATTATTACGACACTTTACACTGAAACGCGGGTAGTTTCAACAAAAATATTGTATATTTCCATTTAAGTATTTATTCAAGTCAATTAGGAGGGAATATTATTGAAATACAACAGTTTTTAAACTAAACCATTCGAAAAGCAATTACGGTAACATCTTTTGAACGAAAGAAAGCGAAAGTCATTGTTTTCGTCATGATTTTATCCCACTTTCCACTGTAATACGTATGTAATTTCAGGAAAAATATTACATTTCCGTGAATGTATTATATCAAGCACAGTATGAATAGAATATCATTGTAATATATCAGAATTTTAACCGAAAACTATTAAAAAAACGAGTAACATCTCAAGAACATCGGAAGCTTAGGTAAAGTCTTTTGTTTTCGTCATGTATTTTATCCTATTTTACATTGAAATACGTCACGTTTCCACAAAACTACTATTTATCTCCGAGAATATATTCATTCAGGCGCAGTTTAGGTAAAATAGACGAGTGATGTAATAGTTTTTTAACTGAAAACGATTCGAAAAACACGTACCCTCTAGCCCTGTTCAAAGAGAGGACTGGGAGAAGCTGTTTGGTGCTGCAGACGATGACAAGGAAAATGATTTTGATGGATTTTAATGAAAATATTCAGAAATATGGTATCGTAGTATTTATTCAAGTCAATTAGGATAGAATATTATTGTAATACAACAGTTTTTGAACTGAAAACCATTCGAAAAGCGATTACGGTAACATCTTTTGAACGAAAGAAAGCGAAAGTCATTGTTTTCGTCACGATTTTATCCCACTTTCCACTGTAATACGTACGTTCAGCAAAAATATTACATTTCCGTGAATGCATTATATCAAGCACAGTATGAATAGAATACCATTGTAATATAACAATATTTTGAGTCCTACTCTTTCCATTTACAGAGTACTGTACAAGCCCATAATAATGGCTCCTAAAGTAGATAAACTTCGTTGTGTGAAGAGAAAGAAGAACACATTGAAATTGAGTGACAAACTTGAAATAATTAAGAAACTAGAACGTGGTGTGAGCAATACTGTTCTAATGGAAACATACGACATTGGAAAGTCTACAATTTATGATATATAAAAGGCAAAGAATAAAATTTAGAATTCACAGCTTTATCATTAAAACTGCTCGTTTTGATAAATGAAGCATGCTATATTTGCAAATGAATAAACTTTCAAAATGTACCTGTTCATTTCTTCTTTATTCTTCATTAAATTTGAATTTTAAAAGTACTGCCTGAGAATCCGGAAAATCCGAAAATCCGGACCGACCCAATCCCCAAGCAGTCCGGATTTTTGGACTTCTACTGTATATTAAAATAATAAAAATTTATTATAAACCTGTCTAACATACCGTAAAAGAACAATATACCCCTGTAATAAACACAGCTGCTATCATCACACACCCCTCCCCACCCCCCATTTGCCAGTGAGGAGACAAGAAAGGGAAAGTGACTGCGAGATTGGGCTATTTTTAGCCATTGAGATGGTCAGTAATGCATACCGGGTATCGGTATATTTACTGATAATAATACTTATCTCCTATAAATAATTGATTTAAAATTTATTTTTTTACAAAGAATATTCAGTAAATGACTGCGTTAATTATTGAAACTATCGACAGTTAATTACAGACGCTTAAGTGATGTCACTAGTGTTTACACTACACCAGCCGGTAACATTTGATTCCATTACTTCAAGTGAATTGGCCTTATTTTAAGGAACTAACCATAAATAAATACAAAAATAAAAAAAAAGATCAAAAGTGAGAAATAATATACTGTATGTATGTTGTGTTTTCAAAGTAAGAGGAACAATTGAAACTGCAATTGTGTGTAAATGAGGCAGAAAGTCAGGTCAGCAACCTGGGACTTGGTCACAATTTTCGTTATGCCATATAGCAGCAGGGTCTACCATTAGACAACACATTATGCTTCCAATATCTTCCCAGGCAGTAGTACCTCCCTGTTTGGTAGCTGCCTACTACCTACACAATTTTTAGTAATATTACTTTGATACATGATAAATTAGACAAACAATGAAAATAAACATCAAATTTAATTACCAAGACGCTTCCCATTGGCAGCTGTAAGAGGGGGAGATGGGCAATTTTTATCCCGTCTTTGTGTCTGAAGTGGCCAGTAATACCATATATTTACTGATCGTAATACTTTTCTCCTATAAATAATTAATTTAAAATTTATTTTTTACATAGAATATTCAGTAAATGACTCTATTAATTCTTTTAACTACCGACAGTGGTAAATTTAGGATGACAATGATGAAGAAGAAGTCAGGTCATCTGATTCGGAGTTTGATTCTTAATGATTACCATATATGTGTAAGGTGACCACGTCAGGTCATGTTATCTATCCCCAAACGTGATACCCCTTCTCTCATTTGCCTTGTCCAGTTGTTGAGTTATCACTCCATAAGCAATAGCACTCTCTCCGTGTGAACACTACGGTATATTAATACAGTTGTACCCCACTTAACGCGGTCAATAGAACCCAGAGGGTCCCGCGTTAAGTGAAATCCGCGTTAAGTGAACGACAGAACATATGGGATTAATTCCAATAAAAACCAGCCCGACCCCCAAACTCCACTTTTTGAAGACACATAACTATGTTGTAGTAAAAATAACATCTTAATTTTATGATGGTACATGCACACAATTAATACTTAAGAGAAATAGAGAAATACAGTCGCCAAGTTAATGTCCATTCAAATAATGGACTCAACTCCCTCCCCCTCTTCTCACACAACACTGCTGGCTCTTCCCTCTCTGAGAAATTTTTGGGGGAAAACCACTAAATTTTAATAAATAATACCTCAAACTAAAGTTAGGATAATACAATTGACATTGCTGGATTCCTTTAAGACCAGGAATATTTTGAATATAAATGTCATATATTTTGCACAAAAGATAACATATTTACTTAGAGAAAACATTTTATCTAAAATTTGTATGTCTAATGCAAAATATATGATGTTTATATTCAAAATGATCACCAAATTGTAAGAATTCCAGAAATTTAAATTATATTCTGGCCGGGTAATTTGTATGAATTTTATGAGCTAAAACAAATATCTTCAGTTAATAAAAAAAAATATTCTTCACAGGGTAACAGATGGTCGGTCGGTCCCTCCCTCCCCCCCACCAACCGTCCCAAGGAGATGTGTGGGAAAACCAGAATACTTA